AGACATAGAGTAGTGCACATTTTTTGTTTAGAATGGCTTCTCTAGTACGTAGTACATATAACTCAATGCCTACTACAATCCATAGACAAATGCAGCCAACTTTAAACAAAAGAGTTATGTATGTGTTATCGACTCTTAGGAATAAGGTGGAACGCCTCACAGCCCGCAAATATAGTACTGGTTCTCTATACCCTTACAGACCGAAATACAGCAGTACAACACTCCTAGGAACAAAAGAATTCCTACCACCTAAATATATATATATATATATATATATATATATATATATATATTACTTATGTAAACCACCGATTACCTGCCCGCTGGTCCGACCAGATTCAAAATATAACGGGACTTAATATTCCGACTGTCTTGAAACAAGCCGAGGACAGAGTGGTATGGAGGAAGCTAGTCGACACATCGGTGAAAGCATTCAGGACAAGCACGACCTTCAGTAATGAAGCACACGAATAAGAAGAAGATGTAAACCACAAGATTTATAATAAGCATTTGAAGTAGAAATAGTTTTTTTTTTTTTAATTTAATATAGAGAATCAAAACAAATATAATAATAACTGACACGTCGTTGGTCAATTGCTCGCAAACGTGATCACAGATTCGAAGCCCGGGTCGGGAAAAAATCAGTTATTGAGTTTTTCTCTCAAAAAATTCTCAGTATCAGCCCGGAGTCAAGACTTTGGTGGTGTTTCATTCAAGTTAAAGTTCAAAGCAAAGTAAAACACGTTAAGCCGTTGGGTCCTGCGCCTGATCTCTCTCCGGACTCTACCGTCCCATTGGACTATGAGAGTGAGGGAATAGAAAGTGCACCTGTGCTTGCCCATACACTTGGGCACTGTAATACTGTCCTGCGTCGATGGCTAGTCTCCGTTAAGGCTGGACGCCGTGACCGAAATTCGGTCTGCAGGACATTATTATTATTGATTATATATGATACTTATTAAAAGTTATTTTTATGTTTAATTTATTACTGGTTCGGGAAAAGCCTCTGCCCTGAGAAAAATCGACATAACCTAAAATTTTAAATTAAATAACATTATCCGTCTCAAAGGATTTTCGTGTGAAATGGTACAACGCTCGGTACTCTTTGCGCCAGAGTGTGCCGAGTTCACGTCTCCGACTCCCGCGTCTCAGAGAAAGTTGACAGAGGTTGCGGTAATTATAACAACCTCGACGTACTTAAGATGTACTCAGCGAGCCGACACTGACTAAACAATGGCAGATAGACCCACTTAACTGGGAAATTGTGAAATATCACAAGGTAAATGTTAATTAACAAGGCAGACTTGTTGTTGTCATAAAAAAATTAATTTAAAATGTGGTAAAGAAGTATTCCGCGTTTTTGGTTATTGGCTTATATAACAGATAAATTAATTACCTATACTACATAATATATAGCTATGGTATCAAGCTAAGGATCAGGTAGAGTGTGTGCTCGTTTGTCACCCGTATTCTATTTATAAAAAAAAAAACATAGTCCAGGTAATTTGTAAGTGATGCTATGACTCATAGACACCTAATGCCTCACTGCATGAACTGTAATTACATTTACTCTTTATAACCTCCAGACCGGAACACAGGAGTGCAAGCACTGCTGTTCCACGACAGAAATAGGAGAATATTGATGTATAAAGGAAAGGAAGAGTAGGAGAATACCCAGACAGATTCCTCGGTAGAGAGGAGTCCCACCACAAGTGCCCGTAAAGCTGATGGGATCACAATATTGCTTATAACCTAACGCCACTTCGTTTTTTTAACGTTTTCAGGATGTTTACTGATCAAACGACGTATCTAAGTTGTTATGGCTTCGTGGTTAGCGTGGCTTAGCATTGAGTTGCAGCGGTGAGGGCCGCGGGTACGATTCCCGCACGGAACAAGTAAATGTATAACCTACAAGTAATTGTTCCGGGTGTGGATGTTTATCCTTGTGCAATTTACATATGTAAACTGCCTCCATCATACAGGAGAAAATGAATGTGGGGGTGACGTTTTTTAAAAAGGACAAAATAAGGATAGATAAAATATACAACATTAAAGTTGTATTTTTAGCACTTTAATAAAACTGTGATAGTATTCGCCTAAGACGAAATTCCACTCTTCATAACCGTTACAATTAATTATTAATAATTTAATTACACTAAAATAAAATATTGCCCACTGATGAATAATATCTTGTGGGAGCATTCAAAACAGGTAAATACAACAATCATTAAATACAACGTAAGCAAACCTTAATTAAGTTGTTAGCTATCGTGGACGGATGTCGTCCGAGCCTTTTTAGCGGTTGGAATGTAATACAGAATTATTGATGCTAATAAGGAATTACTCTGCGATCCATTTTTTACTCTTTTTCCCCTATTTCGTTGACATACAGGTGAAACTGTTTTTCTCGTTGTGATATAAACCAGATAATGAGTGTTGTATAGATTAATGTATGCATTTCTTGTTTTTTACTCCATATGTATGGCCAGCATTATAATGGACTGTTGTAGCTTATTAATTTTGTAACATAATTAATTCAATGAGGAAATATTCGAATCAGCATGTTAAATGTATATTCTTCATCATTATTCCTTTCACGAAACGTTCCTTAGAGACTTTTTTACGTATATTTAGCTAGTGCTTCCCTACAATCTCACCTGATGGTAAGCGGTGATGAAGCTCTACAGCAAAACGTACTGTCTACGTAAAACATCCTATTCACTCTTCACACCCAGATTGTTATCGAACGGATAGACAAACATCGGCAAATTGTTCCACTTGTTTTGTAATGTATACAACGAAAGTAGTGGAATGGATGAGGATGGTAAGGTGTGTGATATTTGGCATAGTTAAAGTTTATTTGGAGGAGGAGTGCAATATGCACAAATATATTAAATCTAATAAAATAACAGATACATTGTGTACGTACATAATGCCTTGGTTACATTTCTCGCTGGTATTGCGGTCCGTAGCGTGATCCGTACCGGGTCGAGCCAAACTATTTGTGCTACAACCATAATATAGCTACAGCGTGACTCTACCACGTAAAACATAATATGTAGATACCACGTATAAGACATTATACGATAAAATTTTATGCCACACATCTGCCGACAGCGTTTTAATAATAATTAATTGGGTGTGCCATTAATTATTATTGAAACTGCAAATATTTATTTTTAATTTAAAGAAGTTAATTTGTGAATTTCAATATACGGCTAAATGTAATGAGGTTATTTAAAAAACAACACCAAATAAAGCGAAATATTTTGTGGTGGTAATAATTGAATTAAACTTTCATAGGTATTTTTTTTTCTCATAGCCACTACCTACCTGCAATTTATAAATAGATGAGACAGTCTTAATTAATATATTTTCTTGCAACCGGTTGCTACAACTGAGAAACTTTAATGAAGAAAATTGGTCAATTATAGTGAAGCGTTTTTAAATTGATAATAATTCGAGTTATGCTGATATACTTTTTTTGGTCTATTACAACTAACATTTTTTGACACAGCGATGAAATTATTATTTTTTTCTTATAGAGCCAAGGATAAAATACGTGCACGCACGCTTCACACACATATACACAAACTAACTTCTCTTTTCTTTCTTTCTCTGGTTATGAACTCATACGATTAGCATATTGGTTATCAATATCAACAATATTTATATATTATCCATTATAATAACAAGCATAATTTTTGAGATATTTTGACGACAGCTTATCCTACCAAATATTCAGTAAGGATGCTATCTCGACACGCCAGGATGACAGTACCACTTGAGTTTTATACCCTCTGAGCATTTTTTTATCACTTTAAAATAGTTCACGTATGGAGACATTTAATACGCAAAATCTACTTGTAACAATTATTATAATATAAAGAGAAACAATTCGATGTAGATCAAGTTCTCGTTTAACATACCCGTCTTAGTATACATATATAAGGTAGTTTATAAGTCTAAAGTTTAAACGAAAGTCTGTCTCAAGAAAGAAGTCCTGAGAGAAATGCGAATTGAAGTGTAATATAAGAGAGAACCACACCCGGGATTAACCTGAGGTCGATCTCCTCCGGAATCCAATGAAATTGTTAATTGAAATTTTAAGTGCCGATTTACTAATTATCTTCCCGTAGTATTTGTTCTTCTGTCTCTCCAATCGTGGTGTCTCCTAGGATTGTTATTACCGGTGGTTCAACCTCGTGTCCTTGCAGCGCAGATAAATTATCACCCATGTCAAGCATATATAAGTCTTTAGTTACTTTTGGAGAAGGTGATCTGTGTATCATAGCCTCAACGACGAATTCTGTGTCACCATCACCATCATCATTACAGCCTTTCATAAGTCCACTGCTGAACATAGGCCTCCCCCAAGGAATGCCACAAAGCACGGTCCTGAACCACCTGCATCCATCGACTTCCTGCATGTCTTACCAGGTCGTCACTCCATCTAGTGGAGGGTCGCCCTACACTTCGCCTACCGGTACGAGGCTGCCACTCGAGAACCTTTCTTCCCCATCGGTTGTCGGTTCCTCGAGCTATATGGCCGGCCCACTGCCACTTCAGCGTACTAATCCGTTGGGCTATGTCGGTTAGTCTGGTTCTACTGCGGATATCCTCATTTCTAAGTTTATCACGCAGAGAAACCCCGAGCATAGCCCCATAGAACTCTGTGTATTCTCCCACATTTTTGACCCTTAATCACTCTCGGAAATGAGAGAGGTTTGTGCCCAGCAGTGGGACGTATAAAGGCAGTAATTTGACAGAAAACAGTGGCGCCGCGGCTGAGAGATTTCTTTCGTGACAAAGATTTTTCATTAAACCTAAGATTATCCATAAACCGAGTTTTGTGATCAAACTTTTTTAAATTGTTCTTATATATTGTCTCAAATTCAACTTTTTCTAAATAAATAGGCAGCGTGATTAGTAAAATGCAGATATGATTGACTAAGAAATAACTAAATGACGTTTAAAATCTTATAAATATGCTGACTTACCTAGCATTTTACTCAGGTCGGCGTTGTGTAGGTCTGGATTCTCATCAGCTAATTTTTTCCGTTCCACCTTCGCCCAAACCATGAAGGCGTTCATAGGCCTCCTTATTCTGGCCTCTTTCAGAGCTTTTGCTTGCCCCATTTTTGTTGTAAAGGGGGCTCTTGCATATTGCTGTGTGGTATAGTCTCTGGTAGTGTCATAAGGACTTCTATATTCATATTGAGTCCTATAGTCCAAGCCGTACGGTAGTGTGGACCAGACCACCAGTTCTGGACTGGTTTGGTCTTGAGCTGAGTCAGTACTGTTCTCGACAGCTCCTTGGACGTATTGCTCGTAGGTGCGATGGTAAGTTGGTGGAGATTCTGCGATACCGGCACCCCCCGAGTCCATCATACTGCAAAGTAAAATTTATAATTAGAAAATAGAATTGTTTACTTTAAAGGTGGTAGTGACGGTGTAAGAATATCCACTAGTGCCATGGGTATTGCAAAAGGCGATTGATGGAAACTGAAGCAGAAGATGGGCAGCAGCATTTTGCTGATACTGCGGTTGCCATTCGTGTGCCAAGCGTGGCAACTATGGCAAAATCCGCTATACGAAACAATCCATGGGGGAGGCTGTAACGGTAAACGTGGTAGAGCTACTTATCTATTTTCATTATGACTTCAGTAGAAATATGACGGATTCACAAAGGATAAACCTCGTTTGCATGTAATATTCGTTACTTTTTTTTCTCATTATTAGTTTACTTTTGCTGCACTACCTTTTTTATAGGATCGGGTCACAAACTAGCACACAGTCCACCTGATGGTAAGTGGTTGCTGTGGCCCATAGACATCTACATTTATCCTCGTTTGCGAATCAAAATGCAGATTCGTTGTCACCCGTGAAGACTAAGATGGAATGCCTCTTCTCCAGTAAAAAGGGTCTCCGGTTCTGTACACTCACCATACGAAACACAGCAGTGTTAAACTGCTATTTTACGCTGGTATTCTGTGAGAGCGTGGTCCTTCCCCGGTCGAACCGACCCATTCGTGCTACAACTATACTACTAATATAGCTGCAGCATGGCTCTACCACGTTTACGTCACCTCCCATATGTTTATCTCAGCTTAGCCTAATGGTTGACTGGAAGAGAATGTCTTAAGGCATTAGGTCCGCCATATGTACGATTCTTCTTTGCATAAAAGTTTAAATAAATTAGAACCGGAGCATATATTCATTTCAATTGACAACTCATGCTAGTTAAAGTTAAAAAAAAATAAGTTACAGCCTATATACGTCCCACGGCTGGGCACAAGACTCCTCTCATTTCTGAGAGGGTTTTTAGGGCTAGGAAATGTCCGCCGCGCTGCCCCAATGCATGTTGGCGAACTTCACATGTCTTACTAGTAGCTATCATCAAATACATTTTTGTTTTTACATATCTCTCTTTAAAAAGTAAATTAATTTTTAGTGACGAATCTAGTGTATATTTATAAGATTTTGAGATAAAAAGTGCCTACACAAGGTTTTAGAGCATCTCTTTTGTCTAGGAGTCTATCTAGATGGCTATAAGTACACCCCACTGTTGTGTTCCGGATAGAATGGTGAGAGAGGCCTTGTTTTTTAAAGTTGGTACCTAGTGTCGACTGCAGCAGCCACTTATAGATAAATCATACTATGAGTAGCTGGTACCCGACGCGTTGCAGCCGCATAAGAAACAATTGTGGAAATATCGTTTTAAATTTGGAACAGTTATATTCTTTAATGAGGGTTAGTAATTTTCTGCTCATCAGATGTCGCTAGTTGACACTGAGGTAAAGTTTTTTGTAACACAATGTAATTTAATTGAGAAGTTAGTTTTTCAATAAAAGTTTATCAGTTTCTAGAATGTTATATTAATACACAAACAGTCAGTGGTTTACTCTTTAATTTTTTACACATTCTGAATTTTTTTTTAATTTTTCTACTTTTATGAATATACACTGGCTGGAACCCGGCGCGTTGCTGCCGCAGAAGAAATAATTGTGGAAATATCGTTTTAAATTTGGAAGACTTATATTGTTTAATTAGGAATGATAATACATTAATTGAAATTGAATGACATATTATGACTTTCAAATAAATGTGTCGGCACGACACGCGCCACTTACTGTAATTTAATTGCACTATCCCTATAACCTTCGTGCATCGATATATATGTACTACGCACTAGATTTCGCATTCCGAATATTGACTATGTTCAACTGAACTGTACTGCAATCCGTACACAATACTAAATATTGCGTAAATTGAAGATTTGTGAATTCCATAAGATAATTATTATTACATTTAATTTAGAAATATATTTGTTTAGATTAAAATAAGAGTGTTTTATATTAAATTCTTATATTTATTTTATATTAATATCTTATTTTGTATTAAATTAAAGTCTTCGCGTATACGTGACTCTACTATCTCCCGCGCATGCGCGAAGACATAGAGTAGAGGTAGAGCACAATTTTTCTTTGGAATAGCTTCTCTAGTACGTAGTACATATAACTCAATGCCTTCGTGCAAGTGGAAGCATTAATTTGACGTTTTAGCGCAATCTGATGAACAGTATGGCAGCGTATAAAATACGAACAAACAAAAATTATTTTTTATATATTAGATTATAAAAAAGTAAGTCTTATTTCTTTACTTAATTAATGTTAAATAAAGAAAACAATTATGCAATCGATATCCGACTGGTCTCATGTGTAGGCAGCTCGTAACATGGGCAGTCTACGCGGAATTCGAAAAATTCAGCCAACGTGGGTGTCGTTTTGCTTATTACCGCGAGTTAGCGTGAATATAACGATATCAGGAAACAGCGTAAGACGACCTGGACTGCGGTAGAACATAGTAAAGGTGTGCGCTTACTTGTGCGTAACGACCGCCTCGATCAATTAGTCGAAGCACAGTAAAGGCTATCACAATGATGTGCAATACACGGAACTTGTAACAAAGTTATAACATCACACTATAAAATTTATTTTGTCATTTTATCCCATACATAATTTTTGTTTTATTTGTTACATAACATAATAAATATCGATCTAAAAGAGTAGATCTGTATAATGTACTGCAACAAATTTATTTATTGTACAGCATCTTAGTAAAACCATCTTCGAGTTACGCTATGATGCACTGTGATCTCATTTCTAAATGTAAGTAAACTTTTATAGTGGCCTACAATTAATAAGGTTCGATGTAAATATGGTTATAGTCAATAAGGATCAATGATGAAACTGAAATGTTCTTATAAACCAAAATTTAAAAAATCATAAATAATTATATAATATAATCATATATAAATAATAATAAAGAGAAATAAAACATAGCATAACAGTAAAATATTTATCCAACTGATAGTTACATCTTTTGTGCTTGTCTAATAGTATCTTGTACATCGAATACGAAATATTAAAATTTTCTTAAACTATTACAAACCATAACCATGTATCGCACTAGTGACTACGTGGCCTAAGTTTACGGCTAATCAATCGACACCTGTTGCAATGGGAGAGTAGCCGGAGACTCTCCTAGGTGGTAAATTACCTTAGGGTTAATACTTTTATCTACTTTAATAGCCGCGTATTAAATTTATGTAATATAAAAGTTTTTGTCCAAAGTACTCGCAGTAGGACAGTGCTGCGGCAATTTTGCTGTTTGTATATAATAATACGAGCAAATGATGTATTATAATATATATGATATTTTTATTTAATTATCTTTATATGTTAACTTTATTGTGCTGTATTGTGTTGTGACAACGATTTTTTTTCTTTCTATAAAAAAAAACTTTTTCCTTTATCATCGTTATCATTATAGTGCTTCAAAATTTTAAAGCTGAACAGGAACAGGCCTGCTCCTCACAAGATACGGTGCTAAGCCACCTGCATCCATCGACTCCATGCTTACCAGATCGTCACCCCATCTAGCGGGGAGGGGACAGTATGGCCGACCTACTGCCACCTCCGCCTACTGATCCGTCATCATTACTGCCCTTGACAAGTTCAGTGTTAAACATATGCCTCCCCAACAAATGTCACAAAGCACGGTCCTAAGCCACCTGCAACCATCGACCTCCTGCATGTCTTACCAGGTCGTCACTCCATCTAGTGAGGGGTCGCCCTACACATCGCCTACCGGTACGAAGCTGCCACTCGAGAATCTTTTTTCCCATCGGTTGTCGGTTCTTCGAGCTATATGGCCGGCCCATTGCCACTTCAGCTTACTAATCCGTTGGGCTATGTCGGTTACTCTGGTTCTACTGCGGATATCCTTATTTCAAGGTTTATCACGCAGAGAAACCCCGACCATAGCCTTCTCCATAGCTCGCTGAGCGACCTTGAGCTTCCTCATACGGCCAGCAGTAAAGCACCAGGTCTCAGTTCCATAAGTCATCACAGGCAACACACACTGGTTATACAATCTCGTTTTCAAGTTTTGAGGTATACCTGACGGGAAGATGTGTCGTAATTTCCCTAACGCTGCTCAGCCGAGTTGAATCCGTCGATTGACCTCTCGGGCGAAGTTGGACTTACCTAGTTGGACTATTTGTCCCAGGTAAACATAATTGTCAACAACTTCGAGCTCAGTGCTCCCAACAACTACCGGCACAGGTGTGACATGAACGTTACTGATCCGTAATAAAAACAAATACCTTTTCACAAATCGTAAATTAATTTCTTGAATATATCAAATGGCGGATTCATTATATACATTTTAATTGCTATTGTAATTATAGTATGTAATATATAATAAGTAATTAAAACGCAAAATTGGCGAAGATGACCAGCATGAAAATGTGAAGCTGCTACAGGTACTACGATTCGACTGCCAAGAGTAACTATGACAAATCCTTAATGAATGGAATAGTCCAAATCCGGCAGTTGACATAGTTTCTGACGAAAGAACAAGTAATAATGACTATCCTTATAAACTTTTTATACATTTAGTTTGTATTATTTTTGTAGTTCCTATTTCCGCTTATTTTTCCGGCATATTTCTGTCCAATTTGTGTTAACTACAGATTTCTAACAAGGAAGTAACAAGTTATAATACGTCATCCGATACAACAAACGAGCAATTCCAAATTTAAAAGGAAAGCCCGCGCCGGCGCCGGCGCGCAAGTTACTTTAACTTCCCAGAACGCCGATAGGGGCGCCACCGTGTGGGAACCGTATGGCGCATTGTTCTTGCGATTTCACCTGACTCTCATCTTCGACACGTCAGTTAGCTTTTCTGGAAACTACGGGTATATACTTAAAGTGTATGTGAGGTACTTTTACTTTTTCTTGACTCAAACATATGTTATTACACACTCCTGTGCGAGCTTAGAGGTCCTTCGTGAGTTTTCTTACAGAATAAATTTCACCAACGAGT